GCAATTCAAAGAGGAAATCAAACAGTATCAAGAGGAGAAGCGCAATGAGGGCATTGCGAGCTTAAGTGGGGGAGAATGTCACGCCCCGCCAATATTACGACACGATGGAGTATTCTAGAAGATGGAGGCCTAATGAACAACCTAGAAGAATCTAGAGTATAGATGTACATAAAGATAGTGTAGAACTATCTAGAAGCTAGAATATTATATTGTAAAGCTCCCCTTGGAGAATAGTCCCACATTGGCAATATGTAAAGCCAAAGCCATGGAGGGAGATATAAATAAGTGTCCCCTCCCTCATTCTAAGGCATCCAAGGTTTCAAGCTTTCAAGCTTTGTAATCTCTCTTTATTAGTGAAGCTTTATCTTCTCTAACTCTTCTTCCTATTCTACTTTCAAGAGAGTGCTTTTGAGTTGTTAGTTGGGAAGGTTAGGCTGATTTAGTGCTAAGAAAGAGCGCTAAAGCCGCACGGATAACTTGAGGAAAGTTAGTCCGTGACAAGTTGCTCTGCATAAGTGTAATGTAATAAAAGTACTAAAAAAACTAATGTAACAATCTTAACAAATCAGGATAATTTTGTGATCTTGTTATTGGAGCACCATTAGTAAGTTAATTAACTCTTATTCAAACCTGAAGATGAGCATGCCTGAAGCTTGATTGATTGGAACCAATTCTAATCTTGAAAATCATGTTGAGTTATATTGAATTGGCCTGAGTCTACTTGTTAGTGTAATTTGGCTTTTGAGGATTTTATTTGAGCAAACTTGACAGTAATATCACTTGCGATTTTTATTTTTTAGATTGGAATATCAAAAGTTAATTATTCATGCTAATATGTGCTCCTATGAAATTGTGGCAAGGCTATTAGTTTTTTTGTAGCAATATCTTTGCTCATATTACTATCATTAGTGTTTTGCAAAGAGCTTCATGAAGTAATTGTCATATTTAATGATATCGTAGTTATAGATATGAGCTATACCTACCGATTGAATGAAATAATATTTCAGATATTGGAATATTAAAGTTTTCATTTATTTCATATCATCGATTTAATTTTTAAATTTATGTTTGTTTCCTTAGCACACAATGCAAGTCATTCAAGGAGAGAGCTGACAAGGTAAAGAGGGGATTGGAAAGTGCTATTCCGGGCATTGCTGTAGAGATTAATCCTCAGAAGGTTTGTTTAAAGTTCCAGAAGATGATGCATTTTCATTCCATGCGTTGCTCTTTCATGTTCTAAGAGCTGTCAATGTTTGTTATTAACTGGTTAATTATTTTTCTGTTAAATAAAGCATTTATAATTTAAGTATGTCTCTCTTCTTAAAATGTCGATGTAGTAGTATTTTTCCATCTATATAGAATTTCGAATATGTTGTTTCAAAAAAAAATATTATGATTAATATTTCTAGGAAAATAACAGATAACGTGAGTCTTAGAATTATATTGACTCATTTCGCTTTGATTATGAAAATTTCCGAAATTGGAGTTTTAGATAACTATTATTGAAAGTAACCTGTAGGACTTTGTGCTCGCCATGCATGCTATTTTGAGTTTCTTTTTTATAGCATTTGTCTTAAAATAGGGAATGTTTTTGTTCTTCCTCGATTAAATAATGAGGCCTCCCTTATGAAATTGCTGTTTACTTATGATTTTATTTTGTGCTAGGAGAAGCTTCATTTTTGCTTTATGATTAGTTTAAAGTTTTGTTGACATCCCCAAGTCATCATCCTTTGGACCTAATCTGATGTCATTTTAAAAAATTTGGTGTAGACAAATGATGCTAGCTTAATTTTTGTACTTTTTTTTTATTTGGAGACATCAAATAAATTCTATTTTAATTGAAAATGATAGTTTAGTTTTCCTTAAATTTATCTATGTTTATGAGATAAGTTTAGATATTATTTCTGGTCGATTTCCCTTCTGTCTATTTGACCAACTTTATGTGAAGTTAAACTTCGATGTGCAGTTACCTCTCAAAATAAAGCCAACTATTTTTAATTTGACCCTTCTTTATTGCAAAATGAGTGGGTATGACCAAGTCAAAGGTAATTCTCAATTCATGCCAATTGACCTTCCTAATTTGATACATAATCATGACAATCATTTTATAAATTGTTAGTGAAACCAATAATAATGATGAATGTTTATTTAATCATTTTTTTTCATAAAATATGGTATTATAATTAGAAAATATTACACAAATACAATAAGAGTAATTTATCAAGAACTACTCGAGAAAAATATATAAGCCAACATAAAGATAGCTAGAACCCAAGGTTGAAAAATTCATTTTTAATGTCAATAAAGTTAATCTGGGGATGTGAGGCCTTAGTAATTGTATCTTAGATGTTAAGGAGGTTCTCCTTCTCATTTTAGTCTATTTACTATGAAATATCGCTCCATCCCGTACAACCACCAATGTGCGTCTTCTCCCTCAAAGATTGGTGACATCTCTCAATTCCTACAATTCGAGAGGTAGGAAATCTCTCCCAAACCCTGACCCTAATACTCACAAATGATTGCATGCATACCTCCAATCCTAAGCCTATAAGGGTTTATTTATGGAAAACACTAATAAATAATAAAAGACTCAATTGCCCTTAGATACATCAAAGACTAAATTGCCCTTAGGCTTGGCCCTGACGGAATAAGGGGTGAATTGGTGCACTAAATAATCATAATGGACCACTATAGTATATCATGGTTATGAATTTGAAGAAATAAATATGTTTTTTACATTAGTATATTTTGATGCATATAGCTATTATGGTGATAAATTGGGTTGGACCATGCCTGTGACCACAAGTGACAAATTACTTGCATTTGGGCTTTATTTATTGTGTATTTTAAAGTAAATTGGCCTTTTCATTCATGGTTAAGCTCAATGTCTACAACCCATTTGCTTTTGTTCTTTCTTGCTGCTTCTCTTTGAATTCGGTCCTCTTGATACGGTGAAATTGTTGTCTGGATAACCATGCGAAATGCTACCTATATTTTAGGCATGAGTCCCCATCGCTTCGCACGTTATCCACATGCAATAATTTCTCCTTAATTCAAGACTACTAATTTTTCTTTTGATTGCAGCCTCGGCGGGGATACTTTGAGATTCGTGAAGAGAAAACTGAAGTTATTCTCTCCCTTCCGGTAAGCCATAAATGAAATTTTATTGCTCGCATCATTTTAAAACCCAGAGCATTCTTTCATATATATATATTGCAAAATTTACATACATACCATTGCCATTCCTTTGTATTTACATATCAAATATTGAAAGTTTGATATTTACATTTATAACACTGTTGTCTTCAAACTATGCATGAAAGGTGTACTTCACTTTTTAAAAGTTAGCAGTAGTAATATTTTTGACATGATGTTAATGATTAGTGTTATGTGTGTAAGTATGACAATTTAGGTGTTAGATATATAGATATGCAAGAATTGCATGGTCTGTATGTAAATGCCCCTGTATCTTTTGTAGAGGCATTTATGTAAATATCATCTAATACTTATGTATTTATATTTCAAACACCTAAATACATTTATGCTGCCCATATCCTTGATATCACATCAAAAAGCCACGCACACATTTTCTTGGTGGGTGAGTGTGATATGTAAATACACAGGAACTAAGTGTTAATATGTAAATCTTTCTTTTTTTGTATCGTTGAAATTCAGGCAAAGTTGTCTTTTTTGATATAGAGTTCACCCAAAACCTTAAAGAAACATTTTTTTTTAAATGTAGAGTATGAATCGACCGTTTACATTAATGAAGCAGCTTAACATGGATAAAGTCATCGAGGATTTGATCAAAAGGTGCAAATGAGATCAGGTTTCTTCCAATTTCTATTTTTTTGCAAAACTCTTTTTCAATCCCCACATATGTGCTGTGTGTGGTCTGAAACCCTTCTCTTGTAGCAAATCATGCTATTTGACCATTTTGCTGTTTGTTTTCTTGTCTTGATATGGAAATTGCTATCATTATTGTCTCCCATTCTTTCTTGGTTTTTGAATTATTGTTGCGGTTTTTACATACATAGCACCGATAAACATTGTTATTTACGTTATCTCACATTGTTGTTGTGATGACTACCAATTACTGGACTAAGGCAATGTCTAAAATTAGAAGGTGGTTTTGAAACTTAGAGGCCAAACTGTCATAACTAACTCAGGTATATCTGTCATTGGTTTGGACAGTTGGCAAAGAGAAAAAGAAAGCTTCAGGTTGGTGAACCGATTAACTTGGGGGAAGGATCATTGGTTATAAACAATGATGTATGTGAGTTGAGAGGGTGCAAGGAAATACAAACTGTTTGTAATGAGAGGTTGAGGGGCTTGGGGAAAACAGAGTGAGGAATTTGGAACCTTATATCGGGTGAGTTAGAGAGAGGGTTTGTAACAAAGTTCATTTGTGGACAAGTGGTGTAACTTTTTGTGTATTGTCTTAGTGTTTTTGATTCCCTTCCCATTGATGTAGGCACATTGACCGGACCACGTAATGCCTTGGTGTTGGTGTTCTTGGGTTCAATTTTATTTTTTGATTGTTGTTATGTGTTTTTTTTCACTCATTCTTTGGTAGATTTTAACAACAAGTGGCATTGTTTGTGGGAATCAGATCATGAAGATGGAATCTGCTGAGTTCGACATCGAAAAATTCACAGGAAATGATGACCTTGGCTTGTGGGGAGAGTCAAGATGAGAGCCCTGCTAGTACAACAGGCGTTGTGGAAGCATTGCAAGGACCTGCTGTGTTGCCTGCTGAGATGCCCGAGAAAAAAAAGAACTTTATCATGGATAAAGCTCATAGTATGATAATTCTGAGCCCGGATGATAAAGCTTTTAGGGAAGCGTCAAGGGAGATATCGATTGAGGTACTCTGGGCTGAACTTGAAGTGCTCTACATTACAAAATCCCTGGCCAACAGACTCTTCTTGAAGCAACGTCTGTATTCCTTCAAGATGCATGAAAAAAAATCAATTTCAGAGCAGATTGATGAGTTTAATAAGATCATAGATGATCTTGAAAACATTGATGTCAAGATGGAAGACGAGGATAAGGCTTTGTTGTTGCTAAACTCTATTCTCAAGAGTGATGAGCATTTTAAAGATAAAATGCTTTATGGAAAAGTGCAGATAATTTCGATAGAAGAGGTTTAATCGCTTATCAGAACTAAAGAGTTTCAAAAGAAACATGATAGAATGAGAACAGTGGAGATGGTCTTACTGTTAGAGGAAGATAAGACAGAAGAAACTCAAGGAATAATCAGAACATATCAAGATCGAGATAAGGAAATAAAAGTAGAAATCAGTCATCAAAGGGACCTTTCAAGTGTTACCATTGCCACATGGAAGACCACTTTAAGAAGAACTGTCCTGACAGGAAGAAAAAGTATCAAGAATGCAAAAAGATTCAGGATAAGCAAATGTAGCCTCTGATGGCTACGATTCGGCTGAAGCTTTGGTAATTATTGAGTTAGAATCAAGCAATGAGTGGATTCTTAACTCAGGCTGCTCCTTCCATACGTGTCATCATAAAGATTGGTTTGAGACACTCAAACTGGCCAACGGTGGACCTGTATTGCTTGAAGAAAACAAAGCTTGCAAGGTGTTTGGTTGTGGGACAATCAGGATAAGGATGTTAGATGGAGTTGAACGAATACTTCAACATGTCAGATAAATACCAGAGCTCAGAAGTAATTTGATTTCTTTAGGTATGTTGGAATCAAGTGGCTATTCTTTCAAGGCTGAAAATGGTTGTATTAGTCACCAACGGCTCTTTAATTGTCATGAAAGGAGTTAGAAACAATGGTCTATATTCTCTGTGATTGGTAATTTTTCTAATGTCGTTCAATCTGAAATTGACAAAACCAAGCTATGACACATGAGGTTGGGGCACGTAAGTGAAAGGGGCCTACGAGATTGTCTAAACAGAACCTGTTGGGTGGTGACCAGGTTGGTAAAGTGGAGTTTTGTGAGCAATTTGTGTTAGGGAAGACAACCAGAGTGAAGTTCTCTATTGAACTCATACAACAAAGAGACCATTAGATTATGTACACGGTGATCTATGTGGTCCTGTTAGAACTCAAACACATGGAGGTGGGAGGTATTCTTTGTCTGTCATAGATGACTACACTAGAAGAGTGTGAGTTTTCATTCTAAAAATAAAAGATGAAATTTTTTAACGGTTTAAAAACTAGTTAACTCTCTCTGAAAACATGATGGAAACAAAACAGAAGCATTTGAAAACTGACAATGACCTGGAATATTTTTCAGAGCAGTTTAATGAGTTGTGTAGAAAAAATGGTATTACAAGGCACAAAACAATTCGAAATACCCCTCAACAGAATTGATTAGCTAAGAGGATGAATAGAACTCTCTTAGAGAGAGTGAGGTGCATGCTGTTGAATGCTGGTCTACCCAAAACCTTTTGGGGGTGAAACTGTGTCAATTGTCTGTTATCTTATTAACAGGTGCCCATCAACAACTTTTGGAATGAGAACTCCTTTGGAGATGTGGTATGGGAAACCATGCAACTACAATCATCTCAAAGTTTTTGGATGTTTGGCATATGCTCATACCAGACAAGATAAATTGGAGGCAAGAGCTTTGAGGTGTATTTTCATTGGCTATCCACTCGGAACCAAGGGTTATAAACTGTGGTGTGTGGATCTTGGCAAATAGAAATGTATCATTAGTAGAGAAGTGATATTTGATGAGTCTAAAATGGCAAACCTGCAAAGTTATGTTACTGAGAACAATGTTACAAATGAGTGTGTTCCAATTGAGGTAGAGCTATGACAACAACAAACAGTGGCTGACCAAAGGATTGGAGTATATATTCAAGGTGGAGATGTAGAAGACCAGCAAGAAACTGAACAGAAACAATATTGGATGACTACTATCTGGTGAGAGACAGATAAAGAAGAACCATTAAACCACCAACGAGATATGACCATGTAGACTTAATCTCCTATGCATTGAGCGTTGCAGAAGAGATAATAGAGGTTGAACCAAACAACTAAAAGGAAGCTCTGAAGAGCAAGGAGAGGCACAAGTGGGCTGATATAATGGATGAGGAAATAGCTTCTCTAATGAAAAACAAAACTTGGGAGTTTGTTGATAGACCAAAGAGCCAACGAGTAGTAGGTTGTAAGTGGATATTCAAGAAGAAGGATGGTATACCAAGTATTGAAAAGGCCAAGTATAAAGCCAGGCTAGTTACAAAGGGATTCACACAGGTTGAAGGAATTGATTTTAATGAGATTTTTTCACATGTGGTAAAACATTGCTTAATCAGGTTAATTTTAGCATTAGTGGCTCAATTTGACTTGGAACTGGAGCAGCTAGATTTTAAAACTGCGTTCTTTACATGGAGAGTTGGAAGAAATCATCTATACGGACCAGCAAAATGGGCATTGCACGCTTGAAACTATGGACAAAGTCTGCTTGCTAAAGAAATATTTGTATGAACTTAAACAAAGCCCAAGACAATGGTATAAAAGATTTGATGGGTTTATGTTGAGGATTGATTTTGTTAGAAGCAGCTACGATAGTTGTGTATACATGAAGTAGCAAGATGGTGACATAAATACTTATCTGCTACTATATGTTGATGATATGATATTGATGATATGCTAGTAGTTAGCAGAAGCAAGAAGGAAATCCAGAATATTCAAGGTATGCTCAACTCAGAATTTGACATGAAAGATCTGAGACCTGCCTCAAAGATCTTAAGGATGGAGATCACAAGTGACAGAAAGAAGAGCAGCTTGTTCTTGTCTCAGAAGTCATATATTCAGAAAGTATTAGCAATGTTCAATACGCATGTGGCCAAGCAGGTCACAACACCAAGTGATCAACACTTTAGATTGTCAGACTCTCAAACACCTGATAGTGAAGATGAGAAAAGATGCATGGTGAGTGTCCTTTATGCCAGTGGGGTTGATAGTATTTTGTTTGGGATGGTTTGCAGCAGGCTAGACTTGACTTTTTGTTAGCATCATAAGCAGGTTCATGGAAAATCCTGTACGAGCTCACTGGGAAGCTTTGAAATGGACTCTGAGATACTTAAGGGGTACTAATGAGTTGGGGTTGTTGTTTAAGAAGCAAGAGAATGAACGATAGAAGGTGTTTGGCTATGTGGATTCTGATTATGCAGGGAGCATTGACACTAGGAAGTCACTTATTGGATTCACTTTCACAGACTCTAATATCGCAGTCAGCTGGAAGTCCAATTTCCACTCTGTTGCAGCTCTTTTAACAACAGAGACTGAATACATTGTTGTGACAAGCAATTAAGGAGGCTACATGGCTAAAAGGCATGTTTAAAGAGTTGCAACAGAAGGTTGTAACTGTGTTTTGTGATAACCAAAGCACTATTCACTTAACCAGGAATCAGGTCTTTCATGAGAGGTCTAAACATATAGACATGAAGCTTCATTTCGTTAGTGATATTGTTGCTAAGGGTTCGATAATAGTGGAGAAGATACCCACCGAAGAGAACCCAGCTGACATGCTCACAAAAGTTCTACTTGGAGCTAAATTCGGGCATTGTCTGGACTTAGTGAACTCAACTATTGAATAAGAGCCCTTTGGAGCTGAGAAGAGGGAATTATCTTGTGGATATTGTAATTGGAAGTCAATGTGGATAATTGTTGTGATGCATGTCTATTACTGGACTAAGGCAATTTCTAAAATCAGAAGGTGTTTATGACAGATAGAGGCCAAACTGTCATAACTAACTCAGATATGTATGTCATTGGTTTGGACAGTTGGCAAAGAGAAAAAGAAAGCTTCTGATTGGTGAACCAGTCAGCTTGGGGGAAGGATCATTGGTTATAAACAAGGATGTATGTGAGTTGAGAGTGTTCAAGGAAATAAAAAGCAGATTGTAATGAGAGGTTGAGGGGCTTGGGGAAACAGAGTGAGGAACTTGGAACCATGTATCAGATGAGTTAGAGAGAGGGTTTGTAAAAAAGTTCATCTCTGGACAAGTGGTGTAACCCTTTGTGTAT